TTAAATAATGCGGATTACCGCTCAGTTGGTTCTTTCTGACGCATAGATGGCCATCCTAGTATTCTTGTAACATTCCACGAGTACCATTCACAAAAAAAAATCCATGATCTGCTTTTATAAAAAGCGTAAAGTTGAAGAGATTTTTAAATTAATTTAGAATTCAGCCATATATTTGATGAAATACTCATTCTGCAGATATGTTTAAGACTAGCTTATGCTGGCTGTATCTCATAGTCGGGAAGCTTTATTTCAGTAACGCAGACGTTCGTCAGGGATTGAAAATTCCTTTGATTACAGTTGTCGAGATCACCTTGTTTTTATCAAAAGATGATGAATTGCAGCTCTCCGAGACGGTCTATCGAAAAGGCCGAGATGAGCTTATGTGGGTGATTTTGCAATATGTAGCCGTATACATAGCACGAATAACAAAAGAAGAAATGGTACGAATTGCCGAAATTTATAACTTACTCTACAGGTGAAGACATTTTGACGCCGATTCGTAATCCCTCATTTGTATCTTTTAAAATGCAGGTGTGCGTATGCGTAGTTAGTCCAAGTACCAGATTAAGTGAGATTTTTAAGGAAAAAGTTATTAGCTGCTTTGGAGCTTGAGAATGAAACCCTAATCTGGTTTAATAACCCAAATTTGATTGGAAGTGGTTTTTGATAACTTTTCATCAGAACAACAGACGGAGAAATATTTTCATAAGACGAAAGTACCCTTATTCCGAAAAAAATCGCATAGGTTTGTTAGAGATTGAAGATGCTAAGCATTTTTTTCTGAAGCCTAGTTACTGCTGCTGATAATGATGGTGATGGTTGCCAAAGAGATCTATCAACAGCTCTGTAATGTGTAATTCGTGTGGAACGATTAGAAATTAGTGCATATTATTGTAAAATCGTATGTGTATTAGGTTGCAGCCTCCAGGTCAATCCTGGAGGTAGAGATGATGAGATGTGAAAGTTAACAAGAGTATGTTGCATGTGATAGGGTCGCATGTACCTCCCTCCCTTTGGGTTGTTGAGTAAAAAAACAAGATGCTGACAATATCCGGTTTGGATGAATGGCTCACTACATTAGATTTTAAAATAAGCTTAAGAGAAATGTGGAAATGAGAGGAAGACACCACCTGAGCAGTGGTGTCCGAGGAGTTGGTTGCTTGCGGCAAGTTCAAAAGCGAGCAGAATAGAAGATTGCGAGCTGATGATGCAACGATGAAGTAACGA